GAAGCTTAGTCTAAAAAGCTTATCGGACGGTTCCCAGGCGCGCGGTGCACGTGGGTCTTTATCGAACGGTCACTCGGTGAAGCAGTAACCTGGACACGTGGCGTGTAGTGATTCAATAAGTCGATAGCGTATAATAACGGACGATGCGCGGCCGCGAGTTCAGCGCGCAGCCGGGAGTCGGTGCGCAGTCGTGCCGTTACATTAGGGGGCTCGACTCCTCGGGGCGTGCTCAGAAGGTCGTCTCCTTTTACTCCACGACGCTGTTTGCACCCATCAACGAGCACCGCTTTGGACCGGGCACCGTGGCGCAGAAGCTCGGCGGGTTCGAATGGAGGTGGTGGCTCACAGTGGAGTCTGATTTGATCTGGGAGTACCAGACGTATCTAGATCTATTTGATGCTCACGATGCGGCTGCAAAAGCGGCCAGGGCAGCCGTGGATGCGGCGCGCGAGCGGTGGTTCGAGAGGGAGATCGATATCAAGTTCAAGAGCTCGTTAGCATACTCGCGCAATGTCGAGTGAGGCGCTCGTTTGACGCCAGTTTTTGATCTCCTCGATAAGTAGATTAGAGCTCACGCCATGCAGAGTGTAATCAAAACACACGCCAAGAGATCCAACCAGCTTGAAGAGTTCTACACAGAATGTCTTGATAAGGCTATAGGAAGGATCAAACGAGCATACGAAGAAGAGCAAAGTACTCACATGATTCTTAGGTTGGGTGAGATTGCGGGGTTAAAACGGTATCTCCCACCATACAGTATGCATGATCTTGTAAAAGTCGTGCGCATTGGGCTCGAAAAAGCTGGAGTGAGAGCGCACAGATGCCACGATCCTCACCACTTGAGCGTGACATGGGGCGATGTTCTCAAGAAATCTATGCGCCCGCATGCCAGGGTTGACAAGCAAAGTGAGATTCTCGAGCATGCGACAGCTGATGGGGGCCCGCGATACATATTTAATGGAGACCGTTGTGCGCAAATTCCGATGCTGGATGCCTTGAGCAACCCTTCAAAGTGTTACTGGTAATGCTGGGATGTCATGCACTCAAAGCCGTACAGACAAGAACGCAACCTCTCGAGTCGTCTGACATGATCGCGTGGATTTAAAATGTCTTTTTTTCTCGGAAACTGTCATAGATATACCATAATGGATGATATCACACAACGCCGAGCTTGTAAACCTAGCACCTATGCCTTACGTTTTGTTCTGCAGTCACAGTCAGAGAAGGATCTAGAGACGCGCCTGGAAGACTCAAACATGGAGGACGACTTGGAAGAGGATCTCATTGAAGAAGGGTCGTTTGTGATTCCTCGTTTAGAACACTGCTTCGTTGAAGCCCCGACAAGGGGTGACAACCTGCACCGATTCAAGGTAACCACCCACAGTTGCAGGGGCCAGATCGAGTTGCCTGCTTACTTTTGGGACCTCAACGAAGACGCGCAAGCTTGGGTGGGCGGAATCAACGTCATGGGCTTCAGACGCTGCATCATCACAAAGGACGTCCTGAAGGTTCCGGTCGAGGTCTCGGTGGATGGAAGTTTCTCGGTGCTCATTATTGGTAGTCAGCGCAACATCGATGACCTGGCCCAAAGACAGAAGCTCGGATTGTTTGGATTGGTCGTGATAAAGTAGTTATAGCTTGGTGCTCCCAGCTCTCGTAAAGCTTTTCTTTTTTACTCTATCTTTGCATTATCCTACTTGCCCAAGAACTATGTGGAATTTTCGACCTGGTAGAGTGAATCGCTTTGGATGGCAAAGTACAGCTAGTATTCCGAGTATGATTCGGTGTCTGACTCAAAACTCAAGTGTGGAACAGAGTATATAACCGAAGACTCGCACAATGGCTCGGATGGGTCAACATTCAAAGATTCTGGCGGCTTTTCAATGAAATAACCAGTTTGTTGAGCCACCTGGATTATGAACACATAGTTGAACGACTGTTCCGACCCGCAGTCCAAAATTCTGACAAGGTTCAGTCACCTATGTGGTCCCAATCAGCTATTCGCGAATAGCTGAGGCCCCTTTTTAGGGCTGATTTGCCATAAGTTCCCATTGTGCATCAAAATGATTATTTGGTTATTGCATTCATGAGTACAATCTCGACTGGCCTGTGAAAAATTTCTGGCAAGCCGTAGTCACGTATGTAACCGAGGCGGGGCAGAGTCACGCTCAGAATTTTCGTAGCTATGTAGATAGTTGATTGATGGCCAGTGTCAAGCATGTCATGGTCGAGGCAACGCCGGATGAGATTGTCAAGGCCGCATTCGACAATAACCACAGAAAAGAGAACACCCTGCGCCAATACGTTGCACAGACCCTGCGGTTACACGCGCACTTCTTCCAAGGGTCTGAGGAGCTCAAGGATCTCCGGTGGGTCAAGAGGGATTGCACCGAACTTATCGAGTTTCTAAAGAGTGAGTATTTCCATAAGCTGCCAGCCCAGCATGGTTACATGTTCACTCTAATGATTATTGCGAAGGACCATCTGCGAGACATGGCTCTGTGGAAGGTGTATTTCGACAGACATGAAGAAATCAAAAAGGCAAGGGAAGCCTTAAGGCCGCCCCTGCAGCAAATGACAGAGCATGAGGGGGCAAACTTCTGGAAGACTCTCGAGGAGATCACAAAGAAGCGCGAGGAGCTACAGCGTCGTGTTAATCGGGTCATATTGCCTAAACAGCCTGCAGACATTACGATAGAGGATCGCATCGATCTCATCAGGCATTTGATTCTTTGCCTCTACGCTTACCTACCAACGCTGCGGAATGACTACTCAGATGCCCCAATCATTTTCATGAGAGACCACCGCTCATCAGCGATACGGAAGCTGATGCAAGGCAACCACATCATGGAAACAGCTAAAGGACAGTTCACATTCCACCTCCGATACTTCAAGACAGACCGGACACATGCTGAGAAGGCGTATACATTCCCACACGAATGAACAACGTGGTGGTTGAGAGTCTAACAGTTTTCCCCAGGAGGTACCTGCTAAGCTGCATGAGGAAGCCGGACACCCCCATGGGACGGAACTATTACTCGAAATTCATGGCGGCCATTTGGCCGGATGCAAACGTCGGTTCGAGCCTGATGCGCAAGATATTGATCTCAAACGAGTACAAGGATGCACCATCTTTGAAAGATCGGACAGAAAAGGCGTCATCTTGCTTGCATTCGGTGGCGATTCAGCAGACCCACTACGAGAAAAAGTACAAGCCCGATGGGACTCCAATAGCTTGGTAGTAATCAAAGCCGCTGTCATGCTTCAATTGCCAGGTACTGGGCGACCGAATCTTCGATTTGCATTTGAGGATCAGTGTGTCCTTTACGTACCGGATATCCAGCATTGATAAGCTTTTCCAATGTTTCTGGCCGAGATTTCATACCGGATTGATGGCGATTGAATGCTTTTGTTAGGAGTATATCCTCTCGATTGCGACTATAGTAGTCTCTGACGGTTTTTATGTGGCGATCTGGGTGCCTTTCTCCATATTCTCGCATTGATTTACAAACAGAACACAAGCACGAGCGCAAATCGTCGCTGTACGAGTTGATACCGGATACTTGAAGAGTCATTAAGCCTCGTAGAATACATTCAGAAAAAAAAAGTACAATCTCCGAACGAGCGCGTTTTTCTCAAAAATAAAATGTTCGTTACCTGGTAAGGAAGATCACATGGCATCTCAACTTTGCTCGCTACCCACCAACGCCGGTCTCGGGGTTCGAGACGCCAGGCCCCATGGAGCTCAGTCAATCGAGGCGGTCATCGCTGGCAGACGACATGTAGAGGATCAGAACGTCAGCCCTATCTACCAGAGAATGCGAATATCAGCGGCAATCAAAGAGCTCTCACAACAAGGCCTCTACGGCATCCCT